TGTGGATTTGGATGTTTGAAATGGCTCTGTGCTTGCGCGATTGCTTACAGATCAAATGAAGCGAAAGCACTGAGAAAACCAGAAAATTCAGTAAGTGTAGCTACATAAAGGTAGATTTCGTAACAAAATTACATTTGAAAGGAGTGAAAATGTTATTTAAGTGAAAAAAACTAGTACGATTAACGATGGGATCAAAATGTAATTAATTTTTTACAAAAAATAATAAAGCTTTTTGCAGGCAACAGCAGTTTTTAGAAACTATTGAGATTATCGACTTATCGGGGAACAAATTATCGCGACTTGCCTGCGTATATATATTGTATATATATACATATGTGTATGCCTATATATGATTAGCTTGAACAACAGCCTTATTTTTAGCTGCTTTGCGTTTGCTTAGGTAGATAAATGTGTATATAACGCTGTAAATAAGAAATAAGAATAAAATGTGAAACAAAACTTGAGCTGCCTTTGGTTATATAAGAGTTCATGTATCGAATTTCTTGACTCTCGCACTCTTGCTCTTTAAAGCATTATAACATTATACCCAACAGCACTTTTAGCTTTACAGGGTATGCAAAGACCAGCGAACGGGGCGTCGCTTCAATTTAATGTTGTCCCCACACTCGGACGAGTCTCCCCTCCCGCCTTTACACATATGTGTGTGTGTTTGTGTGGCTGTGTCTGTTTTGGGGCACAATCAGCGTTTCTAATTAGCCGGCCAGACGCTGATTAGACTTTGGGTTTTGGATTTGGGCAATGGTCGGAGTCAAGTTTCAGCTGCAGTTTGAATTTTGTCGGCGTCGGTTTTGGCTTTCAAGCTGCCAAGCAACTGACGATCGCAATTTGTTTGCCTCGTGTCTGTTTAGCTTTCGAAACGCGACAGCAGCAACAACAACAACAACAACAACAATTTACAACTCAAACATTTGCACAGTGCAACGAAACAAGTTGCATCAAATGAATATTGAACGCAAATGCACAATTGCACGATTCACTGTGCATACACAGAGCGAAATAACAGATATAGAAATTAAAAAAGGAATACGAAAGCAAGCAAGCAAACAAGCAAACAACAACAACAACAACAACAATGCGACAAGATGTTGTTGCTAATGACAAATTCATGTTGGCGATTGGTTTATTGATTTTGAATGCTCTACGAAACAGCAAAGCCAAACGAAAATTTCATTAGCTTTGACTCGACTGTGGATGGGATATATTATTATTGTTATTTTCATGAACATTGCTTATTATAATATATGGATTGATCTCATTGGAGCCCAAGTCATCCGACTATGTAATGTATATTGTAAAAATTTGTTTTTTGTCTAGTATAAAACAGACTGCAAATAAAAACATCAGAAAAAAAATTACTTTTTATGCATTATCATTGCTCAATATTGTTCATTATTTATTATCGATCATTATTCATTATCATTATTTGTATTTACTATTAATTAAATAAATATTTCATTTAAGCAAACGAAAGCGCATTCAAGTCTTTAAATATTCCCTTCGCAATATTATCTTCAATATGCAGGTGTTTCTATTCTCTGTTCGATTGCGAGAGCTGCATGTGGGGGCAATGAGGCGTGGCATGTGTGGTGCATGCACTTGCAGTTAGTAAAGTAAATCACTTAGCGCTCGGCCAAGTGTTTAGAGTTCAGTTTGCGCAGCATATTACAAAACTGGAGCATGAAGCGAAAGGGGAGCCCCTGGGTGGGGTCTTAAGTTGGGTTTGAATTGCACCTGGGTTGGGCCAGCCTGGGCTGGACCGGAGTGGAGTGAAGTGAAGTGACGTGTAGGGTAGGGTATGTGTGTGAGTGTCTGTTTGCATTTGTGTGTGTGTGTAGCTTGGCAAGCGTTAACGAGCTAACTAACCAAAATGATTTATGCAATCTGATCTGGCTGACAGCGGAACACTGCCTTCAAAAAGTTGGTATGCAGCGAACTGAGCTTTGATTGGTTTTTGTGTTAAGGCATTTCCAATCCGCTGAGTCTTATGGAAATACTAACAAGAAATTTGTTGAAAAGAAGAGTTTGCTTATCTAAGCATGCCTTTCTATGCAATTCTCAGCATATTTTAGTTCGATAAGCAGATAAGCAATGCGTTATATATGTGATTATCATTATTAAGTTTTGTTTGGTATCATTATTATTAACAATATTGTCAATCAGTATCATTAACATTATCATTGTTCATGGCTATTATCATTATTCATTATTCATTATCATTGTTCACTTTTATTGTTCATTAGAAATGTTCATTATCGCTGTTCATTCATTCATCATTCATCATTATTAATTTTATTATCATTGTTAATCATTATTCATTCAAAATCCTTACCGTTTGTAAGGCTAGTCCATTGACCAGCCAGTCAATTATACAGTTACAATTAATAAATTATTATGAAATTTTGTATGAACTTATTGCTGTTGCTCAACGTTTACTGTACACAAATATTTGCCTTTGTTTTTTTGTTATAATGTCAAAAGCTTAGAGAGGAATTTCCAAATTGAAAGCCATTAAAAATACTTAAACCTGCTTATCCATTAAAATTCTACAATTGTCAAGTGCAAATAAGTGAATTTCTATATATCTCTGTCTCTCTCTCACAAGCAGCCTTTCTCTTTCGAGCTCTCTCCCTCTCTCTCTTTTGAGTAATGATTATCAAACAGTTTTTTGTTTCTTTAGCTTTTTTTATTCGTTCACACACAATTATCTGTGCATTCACTCGAGCCTGTTGGGGGAGGGGGAGGTGGCAGATGCGTAGGAGCGGAACCTTTATAAATATTCATGGCAGCTCCCACGGCTGGCATTAGCCGGTATCAATTATCGGAGCAAAACTGAGGTGTCGTTAAAAAATTGATAGAATTCTAAATAGGGGAAAACAATTATTTCGTGTGAGCCAAAACGAAAGACTTATGCAACAAACTTGGCCCTTTGAGAAACGGCTAATGAGCTTCGTTTAGGGGACGGCATGGGCAGGGAAGTGGGCTCAGCTCTTAGTCATCAAGTTGCCTGAGAGCTTTGCCACAGCATGTGGCATGCCACATGCCGCTTTTTGACCAAAACCAAAAACGTTTCCCACGCTCGCAATTTTGGCCAAGTTAAGCGAACTATGTGCCAGTGCGCCTGTGTGTGTGTGCGACGATTGGGTGTGTATAACATGTCTAGCTGGGGGCATGGTCAGAGGCGTATGCTACGCGCTAGTGGCGCTTATTGGCTACTGTTGCACGCCCCAGCTAGATCCAGAGGCCCAAAGTGCTGAGACCGGGCTGAAATGCTGCCAGAAGAACCGGTTGCCACAGACAACATAAAAATGCAAGGGTATATATACTATATAGGGTATATATATGTATGAGCTGGCAATATCTATATATATTTATATATAACAAGGCTTTGTGTATATGCGAATGCTTGGAAGGGCCAAGAAAAAAAGGGAAGCAAATAAACAAGGATTGCTCCAGTTGCTGATGTTGTGCGAGCAGATGCTCTGTAATTTTTAATATTCATAGCTATCAGATACAAATTGCATATATCTTGTTAGCAATTAAGCTTTTTCAAGTGACATATTCAGTTTTTAAAAATTATATATTTTACTCTTCTATAAATGCCAATGAAGAAGACTTCTCATCTACTAAATTGATGAAGTTTAAAAAGTGAGTTTTAAATTGGAAGCCTTTCAGACAACAGCTTTTCTATCTATATAACAGATATATGTATATATGAAGAGTAAGTTATGATTGCATATGAAGCGAGCAAATGAAGTCCTTTTAAAAAATCATTACTTCTATGCCAATAGGCTAATGAGTCTGCCTAAGTTAAAAGCTCAGAGACATAGATAGCTTGACTCAGGCATAAATTACATCTTCAGTATGAGAGCCGCTTGGCTGGCATAAACTCCTGCTTGGCAGGGCGTCTAGGGTATTAGAAATCAAGTTTTGCATTTTCATTTAAATTTATTGGTTTTGGCTTTGGCTTTGGCTTTTAGAGGTTTGTTGCCAAGCAGCAGCCACAGTCGCAAAAGCAACTTGCAACTTGTTTGCCAACATTCAACAGCCAGTTTTAAATATGGCGACGCACATACCAATACATACACACACACACACACACACACGCACCAACACACCAACATCCCGCCAGAACAACACTTGAGGCTTGCATAAATAATTTCACAGTTGCATTCGCTTTGACATTTATAAAAGAAAATGCAGCTAAGACAACAACTAAGAATGAAGCAATCAACTGGCAGATACCCTGTAATATATTGTATATTTTATTTATTTTCTTGAACAGTTTTTCTGTGCGTATTCGAAAATGTGTCTAAAAACGCTAGATTAGACCCAAGTCAATCAAATCATGAGACTAAAATACATTTTGATGTCGGATCTTATGCAGTAATGGGACTACCTAAGCGGACTATCAGATATATACATATTTATAAACATATATATATGTAATTTGTTTATCTTTCTATCTTCCCGTTAAGATTGAAACATCTGTAGAATGTATGTATATATCTTTATATATTAGTCGATAACAGATATATATATATATATATATATATATATATATATATATATATATATATATATATATATATATATATATATATATATATATCTATTTATTCCACGAAAAGTTAACCTCTTGATTGTCAAGTTTTGTTGAAATATCTGAAAAGCCTAAGCATACAAGAACTCAACTTTATTCATTGACATTTCCTATATAGATCTCTATAGATAGAAGATATAATAGTCAGATGTTAAGTAAGATATTTATAAGGCAAGCATAAAATATTTTGAAGCAAAAAAAAAAAAATTAACAAAGGGCTTAACAAAGAAGAACTTAACTCTTAAAATAATGTTTTCATGAGAATATAAAATAAAATAATATTGAATACAATATAAGTTGGATTCTGATTTTAAATATATATATATATATATATATATATATATATATACTCTATAAGAAATGAACTGTACTCGTTGGCCTGGCACACACAACTCTTAAGCTGTTCAAGATCATAAAATAAGCTTGCACAGAGATTAGCACGAATTAGGATGAATACAAAATATGTTGGTTTCGGTACACACACGACTTTCTATTCTTTTTCCTTTTCTCTTCGCTTTATGATGGCATAGCATAAAATAAAATATGTTTTTTTAGTTATAATGGAAAATAGCAGTGCAATTATGCACATATGTGGAACATTTGACTCAGGAGTTCACTTCTTTTTGTTTTACACTTAATTAAAGCTGAGTAGCTGAGATGGGGCGTGCGAGCTGGGCGTGGCGTGTGGGGCATGCAGCTACATGCGCACCTGGAATTTGCCCGCTTTGGTTAAATATTTGACGCCCTTGAAGGGCTTATATTTCTCGCCGTACATATCCAGTCGATTCACCTTCAAACCGGATACAGCAAGTTGCGAGATTTGGAATTGCACATTGATGGAGGGATTGGCATCGATGTTCGGGGTGCCGGGTGTTAATGAGACCTGAAAGCGATAAAAGCGTATATCAGTTATATCAGTTCCCATTTGCTTCTTAGCTCTTACCGATCCTCGTATATTGGGCAGCTTCGACACATCGATGCGTCCGACATCCCATGCAAGCGTTTTGCTTACCGAATCGAATGTGTATTTGCCCTGATTAGGCGTCAAGAGGCAGTTCAGCACACACCTGGGCATCGTTAGTTCCAGCTTCACCTTATCCACGGTGCGTCCGAGCGTGTTGCGCGGCCCGATTGTCAAATCCAAACGTCCCTGCTCGCCGGTCTTAATTGAGAAATTGTGCCGTATATAAATGGGTATAGCCACAACTGACTGTGAGCTAATGTGATAGGACATTAAACGAAAATTGCCATCAGGCGGTATGAACGAGAGCAGGCGCTCGGCCTCCCAGCGCTTGAAGCGTACGCAAGGATGAAAGGAGACATCGTCAAAGAGACGTGGATTCATAAAGGATAGCGTCAAGTCCGGCATGCCAGACAGCTTGATGCAGCAGTCAATCTGCAAGGGTAGGAATTAGAGAGATTCGCACACATATAATGTCTTTGTCTACACACGTGTCCCTGAATCTCAGAGAAGACTGTGGAGCCGGATTTGTCAATGATAGCATCCACCTCCTCGATAACATCAAAGTAGGCCTCGTTGTTGGTATACCGCACGCCGCTGCGACGCCATGGTATGGCCGACAGCTGACCCGATGGCAAAATAGTGCTAACGCTGCAGTCACAAACAAAAATCGAATAGTGAATCCTTGGCAAGGATTAGCTAGTTTAGCTGGACTTACTTGCTCTTGCCGGTGACTGTATTCGCAATGGTTCTTAATATGTTGGGTGGCTTTATCAGCTCTTTGAGTATGTTGCTCTCGGTGGCCAGGGGGAAGCCATTGTCGAGCATCTCGTCGAGCAGCTCATAGACAACCACATAGTTATCCTTGATCACAGACTCTGAACAGTCGCTGAAATAGTCCTGAAAGGTATCCACCACACGATGCAGAAATTCAATGACAAACAGAGGGGGCACTTCCTGCTTGCAGGCTGCTACCAAGGAAACACTATCCCGCTGCACGGTGATGAGGTAATAATGGGGTGTGGCAATAACGGGCGGCACATCCTACAAGAGAAATACTAGAAATTATATACATAGGCGGCATGGGAACTTGGTGGAGCACTAACGTAGGGAGCGGCACGCTGAGCATCGAGAAAGTATTCACAAACGGACCGAGAAACAACGGACCGCCAATGCTTCTCCAAAAAGACTTCACTGTGGGTGAAAGCAAAGTTACAATATTTTTCCTCTCTTTGTTAACATCTGTTGTCCGGCTTACCCGCTATTGTTAACTATGAACAGACTGTGTATCATATTTTGTTGATCTTGTTGTTGGTCAACTATGTAGACATATGTTAAAAACAAATGCTTGACTTTTTGCAAAAAGAAACTCAAAAAATTGTTTACGTGTTGAGTAAATATAGAAATACTAAACAAACGTAGATTGCAACGTAAGGCTAACAGAGTATGTTAGGCAGTAACAGCGCACGTAGCAACTGTAAATAACGCCGACAGAAGAACGTGAAAGCTATGCACAATTAATCAGAGAACGCAAAAAATTGAATATAAAAACCTTAAAACAAATAAAATTATTTGGATTGTCAGGAATTTTTTATAATATATTTATTTTACCGATGATATCTAATTTGCTCAAAATGTTACTTTTATAACCACACTCTTTATGAACGCATAAAAGAGGTACTTAACGCAAAAAAGAGCTAACATCGTGTAACAGCTGACTGAGATGCGGCCTTAATAACAATCAGCTGTTCAAGAATAGAAACTCATTTTGGCTGCTGTGAATAGTTTGCTTTTGAAAAATACATTATTTTGAATAAAAAGCTTTATTAAATAAATAGCATCAGCTGGTAAGCTGCATGCAGTACATATATAAAATACACTGAATTAAACACACTACTATAGTGTTAAGTGAGGCTATTTGCCTGGTCAGCCCCATTGGACCGGCCACTTATATAATCCAAAAGCCGGATGAGTCTTTATAGCAGATCCGTGCGACGTCTGCTCGACAATTGGCCCGGTAAGCGACGCTTTGGCATCTATCGCTTTCTGCCGATATTCTTTGTTCTGGGCGCGGCGTTGGAGTTTTCCATGATCAACTGGACAGTGGGCGAGACTAATTTCTGTGAATCCCATAATCCGATTAAACACAAAGACTTTTTGAACTCAGCCCTTATCATATTGCAGATCGCACGTTCAAACGCAGGCAGGCCAAAAACTACATAGAGGACCAGCTGCACCAGCAACAACATCAGCATCAGCATCCACTACAGGAGTCAACTTAATCATGCCCGCTGGAGTTTCGTGGGGCCAATATATGAAGTTCTTGGGCAGCGCAATGCTAGCCATGATGGCCGGCTCCCAGGCAGTGCATCTGTACTTTAAGCCGCTGGACGATTTGCCGGTGTACATAGAAAAGGAGAGACAACAACAGAAGGAGCAAGACACAGTTAATAGTTAGCATTAAGCATAATCTATTTCTTGTTCTATTTGCTTATACAACTAAAGAGTGAAATTAAGTGAATCTCTCACTTGGATTTCTCATGCACTCTGCCATGATTCTTGAGGCACGTCTGCTGCCTGAAGGCCTGGCCACAGGTTGAGCACACATAAGGCTTTTCGCCGGTGTGAATATACTCGTGATGTCGTTGCGTCTTTCTCGAAGCAAACGATTCATCGCAGTATTTGCAGCCAAAGGGTTTTAACTTAAGATGTACCGCTCTGATGTGAGCTTCCAGCTCGAATTTGCGGGCAAAGAGACGGCCACAATGCTCGCAGGGCAACTTCTCCGAGCTGTGCATCAACATGTGCTGCACGAGCATAAAACGTTTAGCCAGGCGACGCCCGCACACCTGACATTCGTGCATGGGCGTAGGCTGATCCTTGGAGCTGTTTGCATTGCCTCCTCCATGCTGTTGCATTGTATGATATTTCAATGTGTAGCGGGAGTGGAAATGTTTCTGGCAGAGATCACAATAATGCTGTTCGCTGGCTAGCGCATTGGCTGCCGCTTCATCCTCGGTGGGGTGCTTGGTGCGTCGATGATATTTGAGATTCGCTGTCTGATTGAACGTTGCGCCGCATTGCTCGCAGACATACTTCCGAATTGCAGCGGCAGAGGATTCGCAATGCTTAAGTCGCTTGTGCTTCTGCATGGCTATGCAGCTGATGTAGACGCGCTCGCAACCGGGATGATCACAGCGATAGGAACGCTCTTGGGGACTGTGAATCTCCTTGATGTGTGTGTAGAGGCCGCCCATGAAGCTGTATGCTTTGTCGCAGCGATCGCACTGGAAGGGTCGTTTGCTGCCCTCGTGTACCTTGCGAATGTGCGCGTCCAAGGTGAGACTGTGGGCAAAGCTGTGACCGCATTGGCTGCACTTGAAGCTGTTCTTCACGCCTTTGCTGCGCCGTTTTGTGCTGGGCTTTTCTTGACTTGCCTGCACCTCTTCCTGCTCCTCCTTCACCTCCTCTTTAGGTACCTCATCTATAGGATCGGCTTGGTTATCCTCCTGGCTTGTTCTCTCTTGAAGCTGCTCTTGGTCCCGCTCTTGCTTTTCCTGCTCTTCAGCTAGTGGCTCCTCGTATACAATCTCAAATGCCGCATTGCGTCGTTCCTCGACCATTTCCTTTTGCATCCGCTTTACCATGGACAGCAGATCCTGGCGGCAAGCATTCGCCTGTTGCTGAAACAAGTGAAAGCTCTGCAGCTGCTGGTGACAGCTTCTGCACAACTGCTTAGGTAGACATTCAATGTTGAATTCATCTGCCTGCCAATCGAGATGCTGCAACAGGGATTGCTGCAAATCCGCATCGATGAGTTGAGCTGCCGGCAGCTGGTCCTGGTCCAAATCAAGGCGGTGCAGGCAAGTCAGGCAATTGTTGTTGCTCAGCAAAGTGTGCATGGCCACTGCAAAATGCTAGGTGAGAAAAGCAAGCAAACCGAAAGCCAAGACGATGGCTGATGACGGATGGTAAACAAAAAATGTCTGTTAAACTGTGGAACAACAGTGGCGTAACTGTTTAGTAATGTTAATGTCAAAAAAGCGTTGCCACCTGCAGCGTGCACTGCTTACCACTTACAGCGGCCATGTTTATACGATATGACTATTTGTGTAAACTGCTTACAATATGGAGCTTTACTTACATGCTGTTGTGTAGTTATTGCATAGTTAATAGTAAGATGTTATTTTGAAGCAAATATTGGTAAATAATCTTGAATTAGTTAAAAATCCAAATTTTACTGCAAAGCTTTTATTTTCATTATATGCTTAACTTTTATATATTCTTCTCTTACAGCTGTAAATGAATGGTCATTTGAACACAAATACTTAATCATGTTACAGTTAGGTCTATTGCTACTGCAATTTACACACATCGTATTTAACAGATGCGCATAAACGGCTTTAACAGCGCCAGTGCTGCCACACGTTTTGCCATTTACAAAGTACTTTTGCAGTGTGCGCCAACTGTGTGTGTTATTGTTTGCGTTTGTGTGTGTGTGTGTGCCTGTGTGTGCTTGGAGTTAGCCCGCCAAGCCAATTGGGCATCCTACTGTTGCCAGTTGCATGCTGGTGTTCAACAGCGGCGCACGCGATGAACCGAGTTGCAGCGCAGACACAACCATTGGCCAAGTAAACAGTTATTTTGGCGCGCATTTCAATTCGTTCGTGCTATTGTTGGTAATTGCAGAGCGCATTTGAAATATTCATGCGACTGCGACAACATTTGATATTAATTGTGTGAAACATTGTTATTTTTGTTGTCAATTTTGTTTACGTGGCTTTGTGTCTCTGTGTGTGTGTGCTTTACTTGAAACTTTGCGCGTGAGCAACACAACATGTAAATCCTTATCAATGGCATCGATCAGTATCAGCAGCAGGCCCAAATACCGGTACAAATCCCTTGCCGGCTCGCAACTCCATTGGCTGCACTGCCTACTGCGGCTGGGGCTGTTTGCACACGGTAAGTCGAACACGGCGTATGCTTGATTTATATTTATTGTTTGACAGCAACAGCTGCCTGACGCGCCTGCCACTTATGGCGGGTACTTAAAAGAATATTAAAATAATTTCCGGTTGCTCCCCAATTCTCCGTCCATTTCCCAATTGCATTAATTTGCAAAAATAAGGCGAGCAAATAATAAGGAGAAGGCTATTAATATGCAAAATTTGCCAGCCAAGATATTTGCACATAAAAATATATTGTATGTAAAAATATATATATATTAATATAGGTATGTATATGTATATGTATGTAAGTATATGTAGCATAAGCATATGTATATGCTGCAGGGCTCATCGGCTCCCGCTGCGAAGTGCACGCGGCGGAAGAAGCAAAACGTGAGGCGTGAAACAGGCAGAGAACTAATTAGAGCCAACTGCGTCATACTCTGTTTGCTGCCTTAGATCGGAGCGTCCGCTTGGCTAAGTAAGTTTAACAGCTTAAAGTTTTTTTAAATTTTAAACTGTCGGAATGCTTGGAATCAATGTCTAGATCCAAAAAATACCGGACATTGTATACTTTAATAAGGTATTAAATCGAACTGTGAGTGCTGAAAATATTTGTAGTTAAATTCCTAACAAAAGTGAGCTGCTTCGATTAAGTGTTATACTACATTAGTTTAACTAGGACAGAGTCTAAAACTGTGAATTTGATACGAAGTAGGCACATAAACATAAATAGTAGACAATCAAATCGAAGTCTAATAACATAGATTGATGAATATAAAAGCTTTAAACTGTGTCAGCGGACACTAAACAAATATGCTCCACTTAAGCAATGCAAACAGAGCATAAGAGCAAAAAGCAGAAACAACAACAACAGCACCAAAGAGCAACAGAAGAGCAAAGGCGATCAAAAAAGAAAGAAGAATGAAAGTACATATAAAGATAATCTGTGGAAAAGTGTGAAGAAACTTTGTTCGCAGCTGCTGCTGCTGCTGCTGCAGATGCTCAGTTATTGTAAAGCACTTGAGCACCTCCCACAACACAAACAGCCAGCTCGCCCTGTCCTCCCCCCTCTCTCACTCTCTGCTTGAGCACTGCTCCTGGACAGTTTGTGGAAGAACTTTTTCAGGGATTTACCATGGACTTCGGTATGGGGCATAAGCTGACTTCTGATTGACCATTGACTCTTGCATCTTGGAGCTGATGATTATGACATCAAATGACTTTTGATTCGTTCAATTACATTCAACTTTCGCATAGCTGTGAGAATAGTTTGAAGTTTGCAACTTTTGCAGCACTTAGTTGGCAGTTAGTTTCTTGACTATTGAAAAGTATTTGAAATGTTTAAAGAATTTGTGAATAGGAAATATTAAAAAAAAATGGAGAGAGACGGGTGTAGTGTCAAAGACAGAGAAGAAAGAAAGATCAAAGGGGCTTCTTTGGGAGAGAGAAAGAAACAGTAGAGAGAGGGAAAGAGAGAGAGAGAGAGAGAGAGAGAGAGCAGAGATATTGCTGTGCAAAAAGCCAAAGAAAAGGAGCAAATGAGAGAGTGAGAAGGGGATCGGATAAGATAAAGGGAAACAGAAATATCGAGAGAATAAAAAAACGAAAGCAAGAGACACAGCAGCTCTAGAGAGAGATGGAGAGAGAGAGTCTATCTATAGATAGATAGATAGAGAGATAGAGAAAAAGAGAGCGAAATAGAAAGAGATAGATATAAAGATAGATTTTTAGATACAGAGGGGGAGAGATACAGAGATAGAGAATATGTCAGAGAGGCAGAGAGAACGAGAAATAAAATGTAGTGACAGAGAAAGTGATATATAAAATACAGTAAGAGAAAGAATGCAGAGAGAAAGAGAAGAATTAGTCAACCAAAAGATAAGGAGAGCGCAAACGGGGCAAATAGAAAGAGACAGAAAGATAAAGAGAGATGGTAACAACAGTTGTCAAATTCCAGTAGCGTCATAATAAATTCATGCATCAATCTGTGGGGACGTCTATCAGCATTTTTATTAAACTGAATCGACAAAATTTGGCGATTTAGAAAATGCAATAAATGTTTATTGCATTAGGCGGGCAACTGCAATAAGATGTTAAAATGCTTATTTATCTTTAATTCAGCGAATGGCAATAAATTGGCAATACAACAGCATTTAATGCTGTCATATACCCTGCACAATGAGCACTCGCAGAGCATACCGAACTAAAGATTCGAACTGAAAGGCTGAAAAATTGCTATCTATAGGATGCATGCCAGTGGAACAGCCAGAAAACTGGGCTTCCTATATCATTAGAGAGACATATACTTAAGTAAAGGCTAGTGTCTATTGTGAATGCAATATATTTTGAGTAGAAAATGAGTCGAGTCGAAATTCCGTAACTGAAATTTTTCATGATTTTGTCAGACTCGAAATATATACATATATTATATATAATGCAGGGCATTTGCTAGTCGTATACTCCACAACTTTTCTATGTTTTGCTTATTCATTTATTCAATTGAAAACTTGGTTTGTTTATGTTAAAATTTTAGTTCACTTGGGAACTAAATTAATCAATTTTTAGCTGAAAATTTAAATAGAATAAACGAATGAAGGCCTCCAGATACCCTGTAAAAGTATTGGTGCACTGTGAAAGCATTCACATGAGTTCTTCCAATCGATTATGATACAATAATTTCCTCATTCTCTCTCTTAGTTTAATTCTGTGTCCTCCTTGAGAAAGTTCTTTCCTTGGAATTTTGTTAGCTGAATTATATATATGTGATTTATGTATTTCATTGTGAGACATTTTTTCATTAGAAAAGGACTCGCATCCAGGAAATGTTTTTTGTTGTTGTTTATCTTTTTGTTTTTCAAATATATTTGGCGCTCCGCTGAAGGTCTTCTGGTCTGCTTATGTAAATGGCGCTGTGGCGATGCGAATACCATTTTAGCCAGCCCAGCGTCGGCCTCTGGGGAGAGATGTGCGAGTTGTGCAAGTTGGGTCTGACGCTGTTGCGTGACGCAGACGTCAACGTAATCGTCTTAGCTGCAGTTAGTTACCTGTCTAACTGTCTGCCAGCGTGGCTGCCCCCTGCAAATGACAGTTAAATCGAGCGATGCCTAATCAGTTGCAACAACAACAACAAAAGCTCGCGGGGGTCAAATTTGAGTTACAGTCAGAGACAGTGGCAGAGGCAGAGCCGCTACACTGTCAGCAAAAAGTGTGTTAATTTGCTATATTTCAATTTAACTTCGTTTAACTTTAAATGAATATATCACAACAATTTGCAAAAAAGTTGAAATATTATAAGAATGATTAGTTTTATTGTGAAAGCTCGAACCTGCAACTTTTTGCTTATTAGCCAGGTGTGCTGCCGCTGAGCTATAGGCGCTCTAAGCCCGCCTAGAGCTCATTACTTTGCCTATGTTCAGCGTAAATTATGTTGAGAGCTTCAATAACTCTACGAAAGCTGTTCAAAAAGTCTCACAAATTTTGTGTTTACTGAGCAAAATTATTCAATAACTTATATATTAGAGTGATCCTCCTCAGATGTTGTTGTGATCCTTCTTTGACGCCTTTCTTATCTACTCAAGCGTCGTCCCCTCAATGATTCTATATCAATCATTTCTGTCTGTGTACAGATAACAGACTCTCTCAATTGCCAGCACGCACTGGTTTCAGCTCCAACTCTTATTGTTGTCTCGTTTTGTTTCTTTTGTTACGCTGTCCTGTCTGGGCTGCTGCTGGGTCTTTTAGCCGTCGTGTGACAGTGGCCCTAAGCCAGTTAAGATAGGTAACGCGTACCCGCACGCGGTGGCTCAGTCCGTCGTCGTTGCTTTCAGCTGCCTTTGATTTGTAACTCGTCTTTGTTTCTATTTCTAAACATGAAATAATGGCCTCTTTTTGTGTTTGTTGTTGCATCGGGTCAGTCAGGTAAGCTGTGTCACAAGTCCCCAAAGAGTATTCAAAGGAGCTCACACTAAAAGCTAAGACTGCTTATCAAGTCGGTCCGATCCGATATGCCACAAAGGCACTGGCTGCAAATTGACTGCAGCTTTGTGGGTGTGGCACAAGAAGCTAGAAGAAGCAGCAAGAGCTCGTATTTATATTAAAATAACATTGTTTTTAAATGAATTTGGAATTTGCTTTACAGTCAAGCAGCATAAGATTTCCTGGCGCAGTCTTTGATCACTTTTCAATGCCTCAATGGAGTGAAAACTTGTTGATAAATTGCTATGCTCATAGCTCAATCTACTAGCTACTATAGTGATCAATAGACTTGCGTATCTATATCTGTGGAGAGGTATCTTAGGCAAGCGAAAAGTATCTCATGGCGCTACAATTCTAATCAGAAAGGCACAGGCATGCGGATAGCTAAAGTGTTATTGATATATAATATATGCACATGATTCTTCACTATGTTCTCAACGCAAATCGGAATAGGTCTAATATATATATATTCTACAATCTTTCGATTGGAAACTTTCAGATCTCAGCTGAACTAACTGAGCTAACTGCCTGACAACTGTGTGTAGTTCAAAAATAGAATTTTTTTCACAGCTATCGGACGCTATTCTTTGGCACACTAAATGTAGCAAAAGTTGAAACAAAAATAATATTAAGTATACGCAACGGGTACGGCAAAATTATTTGAGTGGGCAGCGAAAAGGGCGAGGTCTAGCGCTGCTCGGCAGAGGGTCAGGGCGAGCGTGAATGAATGATGGGCGCAGTGGCAGATGGCAATAAACTCACATTTATGGAATGAAATGTACAAATGTTTTGGCCAAATATTAAAATTGTACATTAGAACCGCAAAAATCAATCAAATCCGCGAAATGCCATACGGGTGGGTGTTTGAAACGCTACGGCCAGCGAGGAGCGCTCGTTGGGCGGCACTCTCTGTCAGAGTTTGTGTGTTTGTAAACATTCGCGCACTGCCATCGCCGCTTTTGTGTACAAATAAACGATAAACAACAATTTTGCGCTGCTTTTGCTAAAAATTTTCGAGCGTTTTTAACATCTTGCTTA